AACTCTGGTTTCTTTAGGCATGATGGAAAAAGGAATATAATAAATATCTGACAAATCAAGAAAAATCATCATATTAAATAGGAGAATATAAATGATTGTACCACCTCAACAATTATATAAGAAGCTCTATTGCCTATTAGTTTGTATAAAAAAGGATTACCATACTTGTGCAAAAATTACCATGACTATTATTCAGGATCTAATTTTGAAGGATCTCCTAGCCACAATTCTTGAATTTGTACAAATAATCATAATACCTTATGATTTATTTCAGCCTATTGAAAATTAGATCTTGCAAACATATATAGTAGGTATATGCAATATGCTATTTCATATAAAAAACAGGATTTCCTTTCTGATTTATACATATTATCTGAGAGAATTATTGGAAGGAGTTGTTAACTGAGTATAACAATCCTACCTAAATAAACACCTAATTAAATATTATCTTACTGGATGCCACTACACTTATGATCTCTTTAAAAGGTCTGGAATTGAGCAAATTTGATGAATAAGGTATATAACTTTAATCATAATTATCAAGTTAAAGTTTTGTGAATATCAATTCTTCGTGAATTCTTGATTTGTGGAACTCACTACTTAAATAGATAGGAAATATTAGCCTTAATTAATAGCTATATTTCTCTTTAGTTATTATCTATAGTTCTTGTTTATCATGTTACTTTAGTTTTATTTTTAAATCATATAACACTTGTGATACAAGGTATATCTCATTGGTTTATAGAATAGATTCAATTATTAGTGCAAAGTAATAATTTATGTAGCATATATTATTTAATTTCTTTATTCTATTATCATATCTTATCTATATTTAACTAGTAGGTTACTTAAGTAAGCAGATCTGATATATTGGTCCGATTTGACAAATCTGATAGATTTGATCACTTTGATTACTTTGATTATCAAATAATTAATATTTAATTATATATATAAAGGTCAGCTATCCAAAGTAGTTAACCCAAGATCTTATCTATTGAATTCTCTTATCCTTTATATTATATATCTCTAATAAATCTTCCAATTAAATCAAATTATCCAAAGTCTTTTTTAACATGTTTGTGTAATCTCTACTATCCTTGAATTACCAACTTTAGTATACTATGACTAAGGTATTTTTCCTCAACTTAAAGTAGATTACTACTATAGTTGTTTCATCTATCTATCTAATGTGAAGGTTATTGGATAGATTGACAATACTTTACTTTTTTTTATTAAAATTTTTCGATGGCTTTTATATTTAAGGTTTCCTTTTTCAGGTAATGGATTTCTTTTCTTCAGAATCATTGTTTTCTGACCTGATAGACAAAAAGATTTTTTTGTCTTGTCTTATTTATTAATTCTTTGTATTCATTTTCATTTGATTATCTTTTATATTTCTTGTTCCAAACTTCTTTTTGAACTTGATTATAGATTTTTTTTTTGCATTTTTATTATCCACTTTCTTGATGTTCTTTCTATACATTTATCTTAATATTTTAAATCTGTTATTTCTAAGATAAGATTGATTCTTAAAAGACCAGTATAGAAACTTAATATATTCTGACTAATTTCAAAAGTCTATTTTACTACTTTAGCAATCCACTTGTCAAACTCTTCTATTTCTTTATAGTCATCAATAATTAGCTTGAAATTTTTTTCTTTGGCCTTTCTTTTTCTTTTCTACAATGGCTTTTTAAAATTTCTAATAATTCTATCTACTCCTTTATTCTATATCTCTTATGGCTGGTCCTTATAGGCTAAACATTTTAGCAAATATTCTATAGTTTCATTTTGTTGGCTATATGCAATATATTTCACTTTCTTATATAGATCTGATCTTTTTACAGTCAATTTACTTAAGGTGAATAACTTATTATTGACCAGTTTAATAAGAAACTTTTTTGTTGTAATTGTTTAAAATATATATCTCATATATGTATATCTTTAACCCTTTCCCATACTAGGTCCCATAGAGTATTGTTATAATTGCTACCAATTCAGCTCTTATAAATGAAGGCCAATTGTTTACTTCTGTTTGGAACTTGCTTTTCTTTTCTTTTTTTCCAATTTGAATTTAGGCTACTTCCATCTTCGTATCTTTTTTTCTATGATTAATAAGTGATCCATTAAATCGAAAATTGGATTTTCTTTAGATTCAAGGTTATATTAAAGTATATCTATTAGGTGATCTTGATATAAATATTTTATGAATTATTAAATTCAATAATAATTTATCTATTAAATATTATAATTTTACTAGTAAGTATTAAAACTATTAATAAAAATTAATAAAATTTATTAAAAATAGCTTTTTTGTATACACTGTAATTAAAGAATCAATAGAAAGAGTTTTATTAATTATTTAATTTACTTATTATTGAAAAAACTTTTTTATGTAATTTTATATATTATTTATTTATATTATATATATATTACAATAATTTAAAAAAACTCTTTTTACTGATTTTTTAATTATACAGTATATAAAAAAATGGTTATAAAAAGTTTTTTTTAGTTCCTTATTAATAAAGTCTTGATAATTTTTTTAAAACAATTTGAAGTATAACTTTAAAAGTTATTTTTATTCTTTTTTTCTTGTTTACAAATTATTTCACACAAAAATTTAATTTCCTGTAATTAAAAAAAAATCAAATAACATATTTGATATTAATAAAAAAAAAGGTGTTATACTGAACAAACATAAATTAAAAAATCTAGTTTTAAAAAGAAAAAAAAAATTTGTAAAATATCCAAAAACTTTTTTAATATTTGAAATAAAAGATTATAGAGGTTTTATTATAGTATAGAAATTTATTTTTTTTTCTTTTTAATTGACTTAATTCTTTTAGAACTGAAGAATTTTATTTATATTTCAATTGAATCTAAAATTTAAGGTAATATAAATTCTTATAAAAGATGATTAGTTGATATAAAATATATTAATTTATGAAATATAAATAAACTTTTATTTATTATATTTACTGTATATGTTCTAATAATATCAGTAGTAATTAAAAAGAAAATTTTAAAAATTGTTTTTCTTTAAAAGTTTTAAGTTTTTAAGAAAGATATTCAAGATATTAAATAATAAGAGATGAGTAACAGATTGCAAAACTTTATTCTTCTTAAGTTTTTTGAATAATGAAAAGATTTTTTTAATTAAAAATTGAAATTTTTGAGTTTTTTTTAAGTTAAGTTATTTTAATTTAATATTTATTATTTATTTAAATAATAGATCTAATTGGATTGACTTATTTGATATTACAAGTAATAATAAAGAAGATTATTTTTAAGATTCAAGTAAAAGAAAGTAGAATATTTTAATTAATCAAACTTTTTTATAAAAAAATTATTTAGTTAATGAACTTTTTTAAAAAATCTTGAATTATAAATATATTTTTTCTTTTTTTATTAATTTAATAATTTATAATTTCCATCTGCAGTAATGATTTATAGGCAATGAAATTAGTAGTTGGAAGGGTTTTTACCTGAGTTACTAATGGAGTGATAAATCACTTTCAAAGTTGCACTTAGAGTAGTAATAATCAAGACAAGTAAGCTAATTAGAGATTTAGCTTTAGTGATTCATTTTACATGTATAATATATTAATGTTTAATAAAGCCCATATAATTATCCTGATAGAAAATAAAATAATAATAATAATAATAATAATTTATAATTTTCAAATAATTTATAGTGACAAATCATTGATGATAAATCTAAAGAATAGAGATTTATATCAATTTTTTGAAAGTATAAAATATTGTTTTCTAGACTTGATTTAAAATATTCCAATATAATAATAAATTAATCATTATATAAAAAATCCATAATATTATAGATAATTATATAAACTTTTTAATAAAGATTAAAGTTATATACTATAGTATAATTGTAAGTTAAAAAAAATAATTATTATTTATTATAAATTCTTTAAAGCTTTATTTATAATTTAAAAATTCAATTATTTTTTAAAAGATTGATATTAATCTTTATTTTTTAGATTTATTATCAATAGTTTATTACTATAAATTAACTTGAAAAATTATAAATTATTAAGTTAAATAATAAAATAAACAAATAAAATAATAATAATAATAATAACAATAAAACAATTTAAGGTATTTCTAAAAAAATTAATAATAAAAACTTTTTTTTCTTAAAAAGAATTTTCTTGATTGAAATATTATTCTTATTTTAATTTAAATTTTAAAAGAAATTTTCTTTGTCATTATTTGTAATGTCTAGATTATTAATTCAACAGATCTATTATTTAAGTAAATTTTAAATTGAAATAGTTCAAGAAAGATGAAAAGATCTTAGCTTTATCCAATAAAGGTTTTTTACTATTTGAGAATTTAGTAAAGATAAAAATTTGCAATTCATCTTTTATTTTTTAATACCATAGATGTTTTTCTGAAAAACTTGTGATTTTGAAAAAAAAACTTTTTCAAGTCTTTTTTTCTGATCATCACTAATATTATTGAATTAAGTAAATATAATCAAAAAAGATTGTTTATATTTCAAAAACTAATAGGCTTTATTTCAACCAATCATTTTTACAAAAGATAATGAAAATAGAAACTCCAAAAGAATAATTATAATCAAAAAAAGAAAAAATAAACCCTTTTATTATATAAAATCTCTATATTAACTTACTTTAAAGATTAAAAAGACCTTCAAATACAATAAAATCTGTTTTTATTTCTTTAAAAAATTTTTTGCCATAGATATTAAAGATAAAGATATTACTTGATCTTTTTTACTTACCAGAAATCAAGTTTTTGAGTGAAGAGATTTATAAATAAGAAATGACTCTTGTTACACTATCAAATCTCATTTAAACGCGTGAATTTGAATTCGAATTATCAAAAAAGCATGTTAAGATTTATATTAACGAGTTTAATTTTTTTTAGACTCGAAACGTGTATGAACACTCGTAAGCTATAGCTAAACATATTGCATTGGCTATATTCTTTGGTGCCACAACCATGTTTTCTTATTGAGGTTCTGGACGTTTATATTTTTCCAAAATCTTTTCACTGATATGCGAATAGTATTCCATTCTATTATCTGAAGTCTTTACGTGTAAAGAATAAAAAGGATGAGCGTGGTAACCGATAATAGTAGCGCCGGGACGTTCCATGCAAGCACCAAACGTATCACCCTAAATGGGCATTTAAATATTCAATTGATTATAATAACTCGATGGATGAAAAAGTACGCGACATGTTTTTCGATAAAGTTACCTTCCGATGTTGATGATCGATAGCTTTGTCATATTCAATTTCTGGATGCAAATCAATACGATCCTTATATTTGTCGATGTATTCTTTGGAAACTTATGATTAAAATTTATTTTAGTCGAAATTCTTACTAAACATTATTAGAACAGTTATGAGAACATTTACTGTTTCCAAATTGTTCAACGTTCCCTTCTGGCATTTTTACGTGTACCGAGTAACTTTCAAATTTGACGACGTCTTCAATGTGGCCACCTTCGCTCATAACTTTTTCAAATTTTTCACGATGGTGATGAAGCTCCGTCCCAGGAATTTCTTTAGCCACTTGAGTTTTGAATTTATTGAAATGTTCTCCGGAAATATTGGCAAAAGTTCCAACCTCGTTTGAAGGTAATTTAACGTGAACACTTTAACAAAAAGTTAGTATCGACACAAATAACGTTTCTGAAGCATTTAAAATTTTACGTACGTGTAATTTCCTCTCTTATTCTTATGATAATCGGTGATAATCCCACCGTTATGCATGGCTTGTAAGAAATTTTTCCTTTTTAATTCTGCTTTTTCGGATGTCTCTTCTTCACTTTCGGAGCTCATCTCTCTATTTTTCTCCTTTTCCCCTTGACTTTGATGTGTATTTTTCAATTTTTGAAGGTTGTCGCCTTCCATGAAGGGTTTAACATGCTCTTCAATAACATTTGGGAAAAACTTCTCGGATTCGTCAGGCATTTTGACTCGAACTCTAAAGTGATCTTTTGTATACGCGTTTGGTTCACATTCGATGATTTGTCCACCTTTAGAAATAGAATCTTGAAGCGAATGAACTGCCGATTTCATTGGGCTTTTGTTGTCAGTAGACATTTTTACCGAAAAAAAGATAAATTATATATTCTTTTATATTTAAATATTTTCTTCATTATGTCACCCTTACAATGAACTTTTTATGATATATATATTTTTTGTTTAGCACCCTGCGAACAAACAATTCTAAACAGCTTTATCAAATTACGTCAAGCTTTTTTATTTTTCCTAGATACAGTATATAATATTTTTGACTTTTGTTGACATAATTATCTGCACATGTCATTATCGATTTTGTAATTAATGTTGGCGGAAATTTTATTATCGTTTCACAACGACGTCACTAAATTGCAATAATTGGTTTAAATTTTATAATATACAGTATATTTTTTCTTGTTACCTTTTATGATGTTTTGATAGGATTCAAGTCTGGATCATTTGAGAATTAATCAATAATGTTGGAAATATGTTTAACAAATAATTTGTAAATATATTTTAATCATTATTTTATTAAAGATATTAATTATTTTTAAGATTCTTTTAATTTTGAATAGATATATTGTATATAAAAAATATTAATATAAATTTATTATTTATAATATTATTAAAGTAAAATAGATGCTGATAGAAAGATCTTACAATATTAAAAAAAATTCTTTCTATTAATCCACATTTTTTCAAAAATTTTCTTTTTTGATAATTTTCTTAAAAAATTCACAAAAACTTTTTTACACAAGAACAAGTCTCAAAGGATACAACTATCCACTTCTAAGTAACAAAATCTACTTTACAACATCAAGAAAAGAGTTTCGCTCAGCTTGAAAGATGGATATTCCTAGATCATTTTTGCTTTTAGGAAGAAGAAAAAGCAAAAACAAGCTGATTCACAGTAGATGTTTTGAGACTCAACCTCAACTCCACAAAGTTCTTAGCCAGGCCAGTGTAGGTTAACACCTTTTTAGGCACTAAGAAAAGTCTCAGAAGCAATAGATTACACTGATAAATCAGTACAACCTCAAAGCTAACTGAAATCCAGGAGGACATCGAAGTTTCTTTGATCAAATAGCTAAAAGATCACAACAATATAGTAATTCCAGATCAACTAATTCACATTATGTGAACACAAACACATTAACCTTCCATCTAATTAACGTATATCAAAGCAAGCTGATCAATTTATAACAAAATAGTAGAACGTGACAGATTAATAAACTAGAATGTATGTGATCAACCAGCACATGATATTTAAAGCAAGATCAACAGTAGATTACAGCCAATTACATGTTAGTAAACAAATACCAGATGTGTAAACACATAGAAGCCATGTGTCATAGACTTCCTAATCTCAATATAACAACTTATTGCCATATATATCAAACAGAAAAATAATATATAATAGTATTTATCTGATTATGTGATTAAAAAGATATATATACAATAATAACACGTATTAAAATTTTTAAGTGTTACGTGACAACATGTCAACTAAAGAACAAACAATAATTAGAATTTTAGAGAAAAGAGAAAAGGAGTTATTAAAAGTATTAGAAAAGATAATATCTCATCAAGATCCTCAGCAACTATTCTGGGAAACAAGAATAATATAACATGAGTTGAGATTAACAATAACGAATCAACTCCACATCCCTGCTGAGTCAATACATGTCTCAAAAGACAATCCACTCATTTTCATTAATAAATTCTTTTATTAACAGGCTTCTTTTTTCTTGTGAAAGTTTAAGGATGTTACCTAAGTATGCTTTGGTTTCATTTTATGTTTCTTCTGGAATATTGGCTGCCATTGCTTCTAATCTATAGATTCCTTTCTTTTTTAAAAATATAGATTTATTAATAGTACCATGTCTCTATTCTTAGTAGTATAAGAGCTGTGTTTGCTAATACATTGTCTTTTGACTGTTTCTTGAAGTTCCAGTAATTCAAGCTCTTCTGTCTTCTGTACATATGTCATTGTTACTTCATTATTTACTATTGATTCATTATTTACTTGTTCAATAATCTCCATTGGTTGTCACTCTGGTTTAGTATAATTTATAGGATTTTTGATAATTTTCATAAACTTGTTTTCGATATAGGATTGTAGGAGATCTTCTTTTATTCCTTTATCTTGTTGCCAGAGGTATATGATATACTGAGTTAAAATTCTTTCCTTGTGAAAGGTTGTCATATCAACTCCTAATATCTTAGCTATAATACTATCTAAGATCATATATGTTTCAGGTGATGGGACTATTAATTCATTAGGTTCACTATTTCCTAGTTATAGTAATTGTTGTGAGACCCATAGGGTAGAGTGTTTGTCGTATTTTCTTAAGAAATTGATTAGGGTATTTACTATATTATCTTCTCTCTTATTTACTATTTGTAATATACATTGTGTTCTATTCATATTTACTGGTTCAAATCTGTTGATAAATTATATGAATACTTATTTGTATTTATCAATTATCTATTTTTAGATTGCAGATAAATCTTTTTAAGATTGTTATTATTTATATGTTTCAATTAGATAATACAGAAAAACCTTGTTTATTGTTTTGATATGTTTATTATCCTACTTTTGAGAGTTGCTGTTATGCTTATGTAGAGTATTGATCAACTTGTTTAGATAATAAGTTGTATATGTATGTGCATGTTTTGCTTATCTCTTTTACATATATACTTGTTTTGCTTGTCTAACTTTTATATGTTCATGTTTGCGTGACAAGCTAAGAAATAGGTATATTGTTTATATATGTATATACATTTAGACTGTCTTGTCTTTAGGGAGCTTTGATATCCTTCTAAACCTTTAAATAACTGGAGTAACTTGATTTATCGAGTGGGCTTAATTGCTTTTTGGGTTTTTTACAGTATCAAGAAAGGTGTTAACCTACACTGACCTGGCTGTGAGCTATGTGAAGTTAATATTGGCTCCCTTTTTCTAACTATGAATTAATTTACAAGTCTCTTTTCTTTTTCCTAAAAATTTTAAGAAAAAGAAGTAAAAAAAAGTTAGTAAAGCAGTGTATACTTCTTTCCTTGATATTTCTGGGTAACTTGTTATATATATATTGAAAGTACTTAGTAGCTTGATTCAAAGAATATATTGTTTTTCGTTGTATATTTGAACTGGTTCACTTTTTTCAAGAAAATTACCAAAAAAGAAAATTTTTGAAAAAAATAAGGATTAGCGAAAAGAGTTTTTTATCAATTTTCTTACTAATTGTTTCTTTTATTAGCTTTTCTATAATATAATTATATATTTTCTTAAATTTCCTGTTGACCATTTGTTTAATTTTAGACTTTTCTTTTGATGGAACAGCTATATTAAGGATTTAAAGTATTGTTTTTTTAAGTTGTCTTTTGTGATTGTTTAACAGAAGAATGAATAAAAATTATCTTCTCTTTTCTGATATATGTTGTATTGATTTTTTATATTTAGTTTTAGTTTATGATTGTACAATTTCTGCATGGTTAGAAGTTTCTGGTTCTATAGATTGAAATGAAATTTCCTAAAATATTGGTCTTTTATTGGTATGAGTATATTATTCAAATTGCTAGAATTAATTATTTAAAATATAAATCACTAGTCAATATATTTGTCAATAAAATAATTCATCTATTCTTTGTTTATATTTATAAAGTATTACTGTACTATATGTTTAATATAGAATAATATTTTGCAAAAGTTTTGATAAATATATTGATTGATTGTTTTTTCTTTTTGGAAAAGCAAAGATCTATTATATTTTGTATATTGATGTTGATTATTTTATTACCTGAATACATATTGTAGTGATTTATTAATACTAGATTATCTATTATTTTATTGCCAAATATACTGTATCTGTATAAGCTTAAACTTTGTAAAAGATTAAAATGATTTTGTGAATGTTGCATCTTTCTATTATAGCATTAATAATGTTATAGTTTTTTCTATTGTATATTAATCTGTGTATTGAAATATTTTTTGTATTGTTAATAACCTGAATTGTTGCTTAACTATTTATATACAGTATATAAATGAATGAGTTTCTCAATAGAATTATATTTGTTGTTAAGATAATTATAATCTCTATTTTAGTTGATAAGAAGAAATCTTGTGTTTGTCCTTTAAATGATATAATATTTTTGTCACTATATAGAATAATCTATTCAAAACCCATATAATATCTGTTTTGTTAAATTGTCATTAATCCATTAATGTATGCTATAAAATATTTGTAAGTTTCTATCTAAAGAGCAATTTCTAATAGTTTAATAATGATGGTTATATTATTTAAGAAAATGTTTAAAAGTAATATTGTTTTATCCTGTATTGTATTTATAGATATTATAATTTGTAATAATAGTTCAATCAATATTGTAATATTGAAGTGTATATATTATTTTATATTATAAAAGACATTCTAATTCTAAGATATGCATTGTTGTAGAACCTATTATTATTACTCTATTTGTTTTTATGAACTGGAATTTGTATTACTTAAAAGCTGGTTCTTTTAAATATATATTTTCAGAGTATCAATAGGTTTTTATTTATAGAGAACCATTTGCAATTCTTTTATAATATATGTATATAGTATAAATTTTATTGTTTTTTTGTTTTTTATCTAATACTTTCTTATTGTTTTAGTTTGTCACCATTCAATAAACCTTGATCAAATATATGATTGAAATTGATATACATTAATAGAAAGTATTTATTGTTTTTCTATATTCTAGCATTTCTATGTCTACAAGATCTTAAATAGTAGTGCTTATCTGTTTAAACCATGTTTTTTTTATCTATTCTTTGATTAGATAAAAGCACATGTATTTGAGATCAACTCAATTTTGAAACAATTTTTATTCATTATTTGGAATACAAATATTATATTATATTTGACCAGTTTTTGTCTAATCCTGTTTGTCTACAAATTACTAAG